TATTTCTCCTTTTTAATGGAGGACTGACTGCACAATACCTCCATGCTTCTCCATTGTATCCTTCCCCCTTCCTCTTCCTTGCTCTCAAGATCCCCTTCCTTCTTTTATCATCCTCAGCTCTTCTTCACTTGTGCCAGTTGATATATGAAATGATTATTAGATAATGATGGCAAGACATAGCATCAAAGATAAGGATAGTTGCATGGAACATCTGGCCACATTTGCTGCTAATGCTGTAAGTTAGCGATGATGTGTATTAGGCAAAGATCATGGGTACATAAGTTTGAATAACATGGATGGAAGTGACAGTTCAAGGGGTACTTTAATATTTTGTGTCATTCAGAAATTACAATCCATGTGTGAGCATGAAGTTGTAGTGCTCCATGCGGAAAGAAAATCACCCAACCCAAAATATATATAAATATAATAAACAACTACAAAATAATAAATACCAAAAATAATTTGCTGTTGGTAACCTTGCTTCTGAGATGGTGGTCCACCAAATACACCTGAAGGACCTGATGAAAAAAGACAACGGGTGTCAAACTCAACAAGTAACTAATATATATCAAAATATAAATGGAAAATGAATAGGGCATGCAATATGAACAACCAAAAGGTAGAAGCAACAACCTAAAGAGAGGAGTATCAATATATAATCCCAAAATAAAAAATAAGCCATGATATATGTCATGTTTCCTATAATAGAAATCTAATATGCTATTGACATTACTATATGTGGCAAGTTACTATCAATACAATTATTTTAAATGCCAGAAAATGCAATCACACCAGGATCATCATACCTCAAAATGACCTACAGTCATTTATTACTTCTAGTTCATGTTTGCTTATATTCCTTTATATTTAAATTTATATTTTTGTTGTTAGTTTAGCAATTATGCACACCAGGAAGGTAAACACCAACCCATGGAAATTTAGTAATTTTTCGTAGATTCGTCACTACAGGAGCTTGTCGACCCCGGCTAGCCAAAAACCAATATGGTTATATCGACAAACGCACAAATATACAGTGCAAGTATTATTAGAATAAATCAACACGTGTTATATAAATCAACATGATAATTATAATTTATATAATCAATATGATTTAAATAAAACTAATGTATATGAATTTAACCTTTTACAATATGAACCATTTTAAATGCTAAAAGCTTGTACATTAGCAAATCAAAATAAAATTATTTCTTTCATATGATGATTTCAATATGAGCCATAAATAAGGTCCTTGGTATGCACAATACCAACAAATATTGAAAATAGAAATGACAATCTAAATAATTATAATATGAATATCATGAATTATGCTCCTAACAAAAAAGGGTACATTTAAACTAAAAATAAATAACAATTACTTACCTCTAGGAGAGCGACATGAAACTTCAAGCCTAAATGATAGTCAACTAAGAGTGCTAAGAGGGCCACGACTCTAATGTCTTACAAATAAGAATCATGATGAATGCACCAATGCTTGAAACATAAGGTTTACAAACCCGAGCTTCAATATTTCTATATAGGAATATAATGAATATCCTCAATCAAGCCTAAATAATAACATAGCAATTTGAACATCAAACTTAAACAACACTTCCTCCCAAAGAAAGATAAACTTATCATAATAGTATTTCCATATTATACAAATCAAATAACATAAACTCTACAAAAGTGTGAACATCCCTTTTAATGCTAGGTAATAAAGAAGAACGAAAGAACAAAAGAGAAAAAGAGAAGGTTTGAACTCACTATTGGAGGAAGGACTCGTTGCAAACTATTGTCATGAAAAAAGGGCAAGGAGGAAGGATAATAAAGGGTTTCAATGGCTGTTGCAGGAGAGAAAGAGGAGGATATGAAGCCCTAAACTTGTATTTGCATACCTAAATGGCAAGAGGAGAAATATATAGGGAGAGCAAAGGCGGGAGAATCTAAAGGGTTGAACTCACTATTGGAGGAAGGACTCGTTGCAAACTATTGTCATGAAAAAAGGGCGAGGAAGGATAATAAAGGGTTTCAATGGCTGTTGCAGGAGAGAAAGAGGAGGATATGAAGCCCTAAACTTGTATTTGCATACCTAAATGGCAAGAGGAGAAAGATATAGAGAGAGCAAAGGCGGGAGAATCAAAAGGGCAAGAAGAATCACGTGATTATCGCGATTGAGAGGATAAATAGGAAAATAAGTGCTATAGCAATCAAAAAATAAAAATCACGTGCTATAGTACTTATTTTTTCTGTCATGGCTTGCTCGATAAGAAGAAGAGGGAAAGGGAGTGGGAGAAGCTAGAAGTAAGATAAGAGTAAATCTGGGGCTTTTTGTCCGTCATTACTTTTATGATAATTATTTAATTTGTTGTAAGTAATTATTCTTTTACTTCTATTTTTGATGATTTTGATTTATATGAATTTGATATCTTCTAAATCAGATAAAAATGCACTATCTCCTGATTTCATGAGTTTTCACTAGCTTGTAACTTTTAATATATTATAAATTTAATGATTATGAATAATTTAATTTAATTTTATTGTATTTCTATTAGTTAAATATGTGTATATGAACTTCTGTGTTAAATGAGTAGGGAAAAAGACATACTATAAATGGGTTGATAGTGATGTAAATTGATGTAATATGTATGTACTGAAATAATTGATATAATTGATATGTACTAGAATGCGATATAATTAATTTGACTGAAAGGATATTCTGATTGATATCAGATATATTAAATTTAATTTAAACATTAACTAGGGCAAACTGTTTTCATATAAACGATAAATATAAACGTCGAAAAGTATAAATGCAATTTTGGAATATTTACAATTTCGTATAAGCTGAAAACATAATATGTATAATAGTCATGATACAAAACAACTGATCCATCACTACTACACATCATAAGAAAAAAAAAAGTGCATAATAAAAATTTATTAAGCACGCCCAAAACCTCACTTCATATAATTCTTACCTTTATCTTAAAATATATTAAAATCACATAATGAATAAAAAAGCCCATCAACTAATATGCTACAACTAAAATCACTGCACAACAATGACATAATACATAGTGTAGACATACATATCATTTGCCATTGTATCAGTCTTTTATCATATATTATATCAGAACCAATCTGGATGCATGCATATCAATCATGTTTATGATATCATTCAATCAAGTCTCCTTAATAATTACTTCTCAACAATCAATCTATCATTTATATGACTCATCAGTCATCCATCATATACATCACATGTCCTATTTATTATTAGTCATTTGCCATATCTATCTATCATATATATAATCAATCAATCTAATAGTTTGTCCATTAATAATCAATCTAATTGTTATATCAATAAGGAGTCATCACTCTCTGCCCGTCGGTGTAATCGGTCAACTATTTATAGGCTAACATCCAGGTTGACAATATAACTTTTATTTTAAGAAAAAATTGTCTACCCACCCTCCTGTAAAGGGTAACGACACACATGCGCATCATTTTAATCATAATTATATTAAACATTATATATATTTAATGCAACTATCAGTATACTCATATATAATTTTTTTAGTCATATCATCATTTCTCTCACCCAACAAATCAGTTCGTTCATTTACATATTCTTATGTATATCATTTCCTTCATATCATATATATACGTATTGTTAAAGACATCTTGTACACATCATATATATAATCATCATGATATGCAAAACTACAATGTGCTTGTCATATGCATGTATACGTATAATGCCAAGATGCATGTCATTACAAAATGAACAATAATCATATGCATATATTTATTCAAATCCAGATTCAATACATTGTCTAATGATAATTTCACGGTTAGAGTTTTCCTGTTTATTTTAGATAAAATAACACACATACAAAACTAAATGATAAAATTATCATATAAGCCAATTAAAACATTCAAGATAATGATACCTATCACATACTAAAAGTTGCATAGTGAAAGTTCACTAAATCATGAGATATTATATTTTTATCACTTTTAGGAGAAAGGAATATACCAATCTCAAAATCATTAAAGACAAATGTAAAGCAGAGGTCGCTTATTGAGATCATAACACTTTTTTATAATAGAGGAAACATATAGAAAAGCCCCATAGAGCTTCCTCTCTCTTTTCTTTCTCTTATTATCTTCTTCTCTTCCTTAGCTCCTTCCCTGGGAAAACAAAATAAGGGGTAGGGGAGGGTTGAGTGGAGGAGAATATATATATATATATATACATAATATTTTTTAGTGCCTAGCGACACGGTGCTCCAATGATCCAATCCGACACAACAACACTGCATACTCATTTCAGAGTTATTGTAAAACATGGAGCATCGATGTTGCCTTGCCGAATTTTGACGCCCTAGCACGACACCCCTAAAGCCGATGCGTTATAAATTATTTTAAGATTTTAAGATTTTGACATCTCCAACCCTTAATTATTTGTTATTTGTTATAAACTCAAGCTATCGAAATCAAAAAGAGAATGGTTGATGAAGAAACTTTATGCATGAAAAACCTAAGATAAATCAACATAAATTGCTTAACTTTGTATAATGAAAAAGAATCTTTCTTGATTTGTAGAAGTTTATCTACAAATAGACATCTCATTTTAAACTTAATTATTATGATTACATATTAATTAAGTTTTAATGATACTATGAAAGTTTTAATTAGCCAAAATAAAAAGTTGGTAATGAATTACTTCATCCAATTGCATGATTATTAATCATTATAGTTTTACTTTACATAGTGAAAAATAAATGAAGTTTAATAATTGTAATGAAACCTATTGATCCTTAAAAACTGTTATTTCTACATACTCTTATTAATTTAGTAATTAAATATTTATCCCAACTAATTATCATAATTCAATCCCATTTTTCTTAATCAAACTTATAATTATATCTTAATTGATATAATTTAAATAATTAAAGCTACTATTTTTTAATGCCAACATGAAAATTCCAATTATTTTAAGCCATCTTAATACCTCCCTCCATTATTCGGGCAAATTATTGGGTCAGGTGACCGAACGCAGAGATAGGTTCGGATAATAATAAAATATTATTTTAAAATTATCGCAACTAAAGCGCAACTAAAGCGCAACTAAAGCGCAACCAAAGCGCAACTAAAGCGCAACCAAAGCGCAACTAAAGCGCAAGTCAAAAAGCGCAACTAAAGCGCAACTAAAGCGCAACCAAAGCGCAACTAAAGCGCAAGTCAAAAAGCGCAACTAAAGCGCAAGGTGACGCGGCAAATTTTTATTGGCTGTCCGAACTTATCTTTTGGCTCCGGTCACCTGACCCAATAATTTGCCCTCCATTCGACGCTCGGCGAGGAGGCCGAGGCCATGGAGTTCCACTCAGAGAGTCCAATCTCCATGGAGGTTCCCTCCTCGATCCAAGCCCTAGCCCAGCACAAGCACGTTCGCTGCATCGTCAAGCTCGGTCTCTCTCTCTCTCTCTCAAGCTCGGTCTCTGTGGGTGTGTTTTCTTATTCGAATCCGTGAAACTTGTGAACATTTTTCGTTCAGGTGGGGCAGCCATCACCTGCAAGAATGAGCTGGAGAGGATTAATGAGGAGAGTCTGGTAGTAGTATGCTCACAGTTGAGGGAAGCGATGAATCCGGAGACGGTGGAGTCTCAGGGGAAGGTTTTAGGGATGGATTGGAGCAGGCGGCTGGGGGCTTCTATCGACTCCTTCGCTGATGATTTTGACGTGGATTCCACGTTGGTTTCCGATAGCGGCTTCATCATTGTCCATGGAGCAGGTTTGCCCATTACTTCTTTAGCCGAGTTTAGACCATAGCCTTGTGGTAAAATATGTGAATGCGAGGTTTGGTTTAGCGTTTGGAGGAAGCGAAAGGATTAAGCAGGTGGATTATGTTGGAGGTTAATCTGATTCATCACATATTGGGGTGATTTGACGATGAATCAGCTAGGTGAAGTCATCTCAATTAATCGTTAGTAAGCTATAATTACATTTTCTTGGATGCATGCATCCCACATCACCGCTCACCAACCCACTCCTACTCCATTCGATTTCGGCATCAACGTTTCCTGTAGATATTCCTCTTAACAATTGTTTTAGCTTTTTTAAGTTGTTTTCATTGATTTGTAAAGTGGTGCAGCCATATGTGCCAGTACATGTATTGTTTTAGTTAGTCCTGGTAATGGTGTCAGTCTTTGAGCTCAGTCAGTTGAGTTGACAATTTGAGGCTTGATATTCTAATAATTATACGGGGGATTTACATACATACCACTTTATATGATATATATCTAACATCCGAAACTTTAAAATTTCATTCCCACCACACATATATAACTTTAATATCAAATATGTCGCTCTTATATTTCATTCCTACCGTCCATAACACCCTGTAAACTTTAATATTTCATTCCTTGCACACATTTGATCTTTGGATAGTAGGCTTGAAATATTAAATTTGTGATTGTTAGATATGCAAATAGCATGATATAAAGTGGTATGCATGTAAATCCCCTAAATCCTAATTATATCTGTCCTTACTAATGCTTTTGCAATTTGATCTAATATGGTTATATATTTTAGCTCAACTAATTTGTTTTCTGCTCTAAATTTATCATACTACACTCCTGCTGTATGAACTCTAGAGAAGCAAAAAGATGGTAAAGCATATCTTAATCAATCATGCTGAGGTTGATGAAGATGCTGATGTTTTCATCATATTGGATAAATAATTGAAAGAAATTTTTGTGGATGAGGCATCATTTTAGGCGCAATTTCTATATCCATGCTAAGTTTTCTTCATCAGCCACACGACTTTTATTTGTGTAGGTTCTTTTGGACACTTCCAAGCCAGTAGAACTGGAGTCAACAAAGGAGGATTACATCTTCCACTTGTTAAGGCTGGTTTTGTGGCTACTCGGATCTCTGTGAGTGTTAAGTCTACTGAATTATTTTACCTTTGAATCTTAAGATGCTACGTGTGTACAGATCAGGGCATCATGTTGCTTATTTCTTTTCTTGCTTTCTGTTTTTCTGCTTTATACTTCTAGCTATTTTACCATTTTTTTTAGTTTCCACATGTCTTTTCTTTTGAAATTGACAATTAACATGATGGTTCTTCTAAATCTCTAGTACTGATGTGCTTTATCATACAAAATGATATTAACTGGGGTAGATAAGTGAAAATCTCTTCTTTGTTTTCCCTTTTCTCCTTAAAATAGCTTAGTTTTCTGAGGTCAGGAGGACTTCTTTGTAAAACTGGGCAACTATAGCAGTAAACTTTTCCGGAACAATGATCATTGGAAAGCAATAAAAGTGCAGTGGCTTTAAACTACTTTCCTGAGATCTTCTACATAATGTCTTCTGATTCTATGCATCTACTCAGTGAAAATTGTGGATTAATCTAGTAACATTCCCGTAATGGAAGATGGTACACCCTAGCAAGAATGGGTATGATGAATTATTTTATCTTCACCCGCTGTGGCAAAACCTGGGGTTAAGGCCAATAATGGTGGCTTTGTTTTAAATGTAGAGAAGTCATATCATAATGATACAATAATGACAATGAGAGAAGGCGAACCTAGATTCATTCATCAAAGCAAAATGATTACTTGCTAAAAAAAAGAAATAATTTCTAAGAAATACACTTGAATAAAATATTGCTAAATGGACACAGACTATTACTCATCCCACATTAGGATATGTAACTAAAGATGTTCTTGTGGTGGTGGTAAATGAAAAAAATGAGATAAATTTGCATTAACGTCAATGAGTGTGCTTGCAAAACAAATTTTGCAGAGTACTTCTTATTAAGGCATAAACGGCAATGCATAAGACATTAAAAAATGCTTAGTAGTAAAGACAAAAAAATTATGATAATATCTATGCGTAATAGAAGCAACATGAGAACTAATCAACAAAAAAGATCTGTATGCAGCAAACTTTACATGCATTCAAAATCACCAATTTTTTTTTAATAATAATTGGAGGCATAATGCAATAAAGCTCTACTAAGAAGAAGCTTACATTTATGTCCAATGCACAACTATAATAATTTATCAATGAACAAAATAAACAATCACAATATCCAATCCATGACTAAGCTAAGCAATCAATGAGCATTCACACTAAATTTTTAAATATCAAGAGAGTCTCAATGGATTTTCATCCATCAATAATGTTCATAACAATTTAGACCTGATGATATTCCAATAGAGGTGTGGAAATGCTTAGGAAATGAAGGAATTTCTTGACTTAAAAAAATTTCAATGTTATTTTAAAAACTAAAAAGATGCCAATGAGTGGAGGAGTGTATTGATTTATATTTTTAAGAATAAAAGTGATGCATAGGAGTTTGCTAATTATAGATGAATTAAGTTAATGTGTCATGCATTAAAATTATGGGAGAGAGTTATTGAGCATAGGTGATGGCGTGATACTAATGTTTCTCAAAATTAATTTGGATTCATGCCCGATAAGTCTACTATGGAACTTATGCATTTATTGAGAGGTTTGATGGAGAAGTATAGAGAGAATAAAGATAATCTACATATGATATTTATTGATTTAGAAAAAGCATATGATAAAGTTTGAAGAGAAGTGCTCTGATGAGTTCTAGAAAAAAAAAAGAGTAAAAAATGCTTATATTAAAGTCATTAAAGATATGTATGTAGGAGCTATTACTCATGTTCAAACACAAGGTGGTTTGACCAAGTATTTTCCTATTTCAGTTGAATTACATCAAGGATCAACTTTAAGCCCATGTCTTTTTGCTTTAGTCATGAATGTTCTTACTAGACATTTACAAAAGGATGTACCATGGTTTATGCTTTTTTGCTGATGATATTTTTCTTCTTGATAAAACTAGAGAGGGAATTGATGGAAAACTTGGTTTATGGAGCTCAACAATAGAGTCTAAAGGTTTTTGTTTGAGTAGATCTAAAATTGAATATATGGAGTGTAATTTTAGTGAGAGGATAGCAATTTTGGACGATCAATTTATTAATAAGAGTACACATTTTAAATATCTTGGGTCTATTATTCAAAGTGATGTTTGTTATGTGTGTAATCTGATTGTGTTGATCAATCTGATTATTATGTTGTCTCGGAGCTCAAAGATTGTCATGTATATTGGGGGGTGCGGGGGGTTTACCTCCTGCTTGGGTTCGAGTGATTTGCACTTAATAGTTTTTTTTTTTTCGTATAATGCCATAGTGCTGCGTAACCGAGTGCCCCGACGTTGTATTCCCGAACGCCCCAACGCTAAACCACAGAGAGCAGAGCACCGTATCGGCCTAGATATGGCACCGTAATGGTGCAAGAAATAGGTTTGAGCACCACAGCTCCCCAAACTGGCGCTGTAGCAGTACAAGATAGACTGAACATTTTTCTTTCTCATTTTCTGAAGGGTTGCGTCCCTTAGAGTTATTTTACTTGACTTTCTCTTGTATTTTAGTTAGGGCTAGAGTGAGAACAATGCTTGTGAGAAGAGAAACAAGAAGAGAGTGAGAGAGAAGGGAGATATGTACTTATTTATCCCAATTTGTAATAGTGGATTTCTTGGTGTGGTGTTGCTCCGTGGTTTTTTCCCTATTTTGAATTTTTCCACATTAAATCCTGGTGTTCTTTACTATTCCTTTGCTTTTACTTTTTTGCTTGTTTCGTCATTGTGGTGCTTACTCCTCCTCATCTTCCCCAACAATGGTGAAATAGATGGGGATATTATTAGTAGAGTTCAAGTTGGATGACTGAAGCGGAGGAATGCATTGGGCCTGTTGTGTGATAGAAAGATACCCTCAAATTTATAGGAAAATTCTATTAAATGGTGGTGAGATCTATAATGCTTTATGACGCAGAATTTTGGCCATTGAAAGAGACGCATAAAATTAAGTTTAGGGTTGCAAATATGAGGATGCTCGGGTGGATGAGTGCCTCACTCTTAGAGATAGAATTGGAAATGAGTATAGATATTACAAAATTAATGATTTTAATATCAAATAGATTGCTTATTTAGAAATACAAAATACTCAATATCACACATTATCATACATTGCATATTTTTAAAATATTGAATGAAAAAAAGATGAAAAAGACCATTTGCATGTTCTTTACTTAAAAAAATGGAAGAATGTAAACAATTCATCATAATAAAATATATGAAGGCATTGTTAGTACTATATTATATAAATTGATTATTATATATTTATTGTGTTTAATAATAATAATAATAATAATAATAATAATAATAGTAATAAGCAAAATAACCAATTAGATACTAATTTCACATTGATTGAACACCCCTCAAATTAGATTGACTGCTATCGTTAATTAGGAAATTTTAATAATAATAATAATAATAATAATAATAATAATAATAATAATAATAATAATATGAATAATGGCATAGAAATAAGCAAAATAACCAATTAGATACTCTTCCAATTAGTATAGATTCACAATTTCACATTGAATGAACACCCCTCAAATTAGATTGACTGCTATCGTTAATTAGGAAATATTATACATAAATATCATATGCATTTAAAAAAAGTGTAAATTTGTTAGAGTTATATGTGATTTTTTTTTCTTACGATAAATAAATCATTTGATATTATAAATATTATCTTAAGAATTCCTAGCATCATCATATAATCTATTTTAATTACAATATTAATAATTTTGAAAATAGCACATATTATCATATCACTCATGCATCAATATGTTAAACACCTAAAAACATGCTCTAGATAATTAATTTAAATTCCCTAAATCCTATTGAGTCTAATCATGTTGTGGCCTCAACTATGATGCTATGTTTCACATCAATAACCCGATCTATTAGCCAACTTATACAGGATCATTGCCAATAAAATTTGAAATTTTTTGAGAATTACGCTAGTTAAAATCATTGGGTTTGAATTAATGACATTCCAAAATTTTTTAAAATTTGATATGTTAGAAACACTCAAACACTCACACACATATACACTAATTATTGCCTATACTTGAAAGATTATGCTTTCTTTTTATCATGACACAGGCATATGCATAACATTATAGATAATTAGCATCATTTGGTGTGCACACATTTCAACTGGATTCATTTGGTGTGCGCACATTTTAGGTTTACCTCTACCTTTCTTAACATTCGTCAAATTCAATATATCTACTCTCTTGATCGTGTTGTTGGAAGGCCGACGTTTTATGTGTTTAAACCATCTAAGGCGACTCTGTCTGATTTATCTGTCACTAGAGCTAGCATGTTACGTTATATTTAGATTGAATTATTTCTATAATTCACCTAACATTAAATTTTGATTTTAAATAAACATTATATATATATATATATATATATAACGTGATTAGTGGATTATATAATCAACATGCAAATTGAATTTAGAGAAAATTATTTAATTATTTAATTAATATTAAAGGCAAATTTAGTATTAAATGTTAAATTAAATAAATTTCTCCAAAAATATAAAAAAATAGTAGAAACTATTTTAATAGAACAAATATATTATATATTTTTAAACATAATTTTCTTTAATTTACACCAATTTAATATTTGAATAATTAATAGTAGCACAATGTAAAATTATATGAAGTATTTAACCAAAATAGCACACGCATTTATTTATAGAAAATATAGAGTAGTTTTTTAAAAAATAAAATTTATTTCATAATTTTGTGAATTGTATTTACTTAATTATGAATTTTTGAAGTTTTGTGATTAATTTAAATCTCCAATTTCACGTTTAGTTAACTAGGATGGCCTAGCATGTGAAACAATCTCTAATTGGGTGGTGAAAGTGGTGGTCGTAGCATTCTTTACACATGATCTATGTGCAATGCAAGAATGATGAAGTTTCGTGCGGCTAAACCTCAGTCATTGGATCTCATTTTTGTGATCCAATTGTAGTTGTTTATCTTCTTCCATAGCCGATCTATATCTAAAATTGTTGATTTTGTGGCTTTTCCTAAGGATATGTGGGTGCATGAGGGCTGGGGTGTGGTTGGGTTTGGATGATAGGGATGGAGGCTTGCTGTTGTGGAGCTCTGTAGTGGTGACGGTGGCAGAACCGTCTGCTTGCAGGAAAAAAAAAAAAAAAAAACTTTTTTTATGAGAGTTGTGCTTTTAGTTTGGTGGTGTGGGATGGTTTTACTAAGGGGCCTTCTCTAGGATCAATGCAAACGTATCTTATGTCATTACAACAAAACTAGGAGCTTTAAGGGAATGGAAAGGTGGAAGATGTTAGAGAGCTATATCTTGGCGATGGTTGAGTTGAAAATAGCCTCAAGTCTGCTTGTTTTGGTTTATTGACTTTTCTGGAGCTACAACAAGAGGCTTCATGGGAGAAAGATCTTAGGGAGAAGAGAGCAACTGTCTAGAAAAAAGTTCATCCTCAAAATTTTTTTATTTTTCTTATCCACAGCTTGGGCATTGGGAGGAGCATGGGCTTGCCTTGGTGAACGTGTTAATGAACGGAGGCTGCTCTTATCCATGCAGTAGTTTATTTCTAACTAATTTGGCTTTAGGTTTAGTTTAGACCATAGTTTGATTGTTTAAAGGCATATATTTGATCATCCCTTTAAATGCTGACTAAGTGGATCCTAGATATAAAGGTGGCTTTTTGAGCGGCAAGCTAGACTTGAAGATTGCTATGGAATAATATAGGCTAGCACGATTTTTATTTAGTTAACCGTTTGGGTTTCAATTAAGTGCTTTGTTGAATAAAAAAAATGCGTGAGCACAATGACGTAGATGTCTTATTTAGTATTGACAATCTAGATTAGAAATAGTCCTTGATGCAATAATGAAGATGGTTCTAGTAAGGATTGGCAGCTTTCTTTTGGCTGATTGACGTTTGTCATGTGTCATCTTATTTTAGCACCATTACCATGAAACTTAAATCATGTTACCAGAAGTACTTTGATTGTTTCTTTTCATTTTGATGATGAGTAACACCATCGCAGAGTTTGGAAAATGCATATGTTGCGAATGAGCTGGTCATTTCCTTCACTCTTGATTATATTGAACTTAGTTCCCTAATACAAGCTTTTTTATGTTTAAATTTGATCACAAAATTCAATTTGCTTGTTCATCTTATTATTTCTCAAAGAATGCGGGTTTCTAAAATACATTGTGCTATATGAGAAACTTCCAACTTCTTGCTATTTTTCATCTTAACTTGATTGTTTTTTTGCAACAATTCTCCCTAGAAACATTTAAAATTCTTCATGTATTTTACATTTTCTTATTTGCATGTTTTATTTATGATAGGTAACATCACTGAACCTTGAGATTGTTAGAGCTCTTGCTAGAGGTAACGTGTTAAGTTTATTTCTGCTTCAATTAGATGTTGCCATTTGGATTTGTTAAAGACCTAGCACTAATTCATTATAAATTTAACAAACACCAAAAGAGACTCCTTTTTCAATCTTTTTGTTTTGTTTGCCTTGGTCCTTTCATACATTTGACATCGATCATTATTCAACTCAATTGATGTAAATGGCGGGCTTGCAGCTATAGCTAGGTTGTCTCAATTATGGCCTTAGGTCATAGTTTTGAGTAAGAGAAGCAACCTCTTTGCATTTTCTATTTTGATCAACCCGTACAAACTTTCTATTGGCAGGAACAACTGATTACATTGTTTTGGTACTTGAAAAAATCGTAATGATGTGTTTTGCATGTTAATGTTCTGCAGTGTGGATAAAGAGAGATATTTGGAACACTTAGTTTTACCTTCTCCTTAGTTGATGAGGAAATAGAAGTTGCGAGAAACAAAGTTTTAATTTAAAATTTGTCGAATGCAAACTTGCTTGTTACATGCGTCAACTGTAGTACTGACAATCTCGAGCAGAACAACACTTCAAAAATGGAACCTTTCTTAAAATTACCTACTCCTACTATGGTCTCAGGCTTGAAATTTGAAAGTCTTTATTTATGATTACTCATTACATTTGGTGTTCCTAAACATTGCTATTTTGTGTTTCTATATATGCTTTTTGGAGATGTTATCTAACTATTAAAGAGTGTTATTAGGCTTTAGAATTTTCTTTATAGATCTTTGCCCTGGTAGGATTATGGCTAATAATAATGATGATGATAATTATGCGGATGTTTCTTTCATTTACCTTGTTTGATGTGTTGTTATGTTGTGTTTTTGTTAGGCGGGCCCCTCCGGTCCTTACTTACTCTAGGCGGGCCCCACATGGAGTTAATTCAAGGGTTGGAGGGAAAATTTGAATGGAAAGGGGGGGAAATTTGAATAGAAGGGCTGTTTAGGGATTTTGTATGGGGATGAGAGTTAAAGAGGGGGAAAGGGGGGAATTAGGTCCTCATCTTGAATTTGAATGAAAAGTTTGAGATCTCATTGTGTGCTTGGGCTCTAGGGTTTGCTAGAGACTTGTGGAGAGTTGTTCTTCCTCTCGAATCGAAGAATGTTGTATTTTCTTTGTTTTCTTGCATCTACTAGTGAAGATCTTGCTTCGTTTCTCTTATTTCCACTGTTTGGTGCAAAAAAATCTGCTGCGAGGAAGCTGTCAAACTGCTGGGACAGCAGTTTTTCCTCTGTTTTTGTGCTAATCTTGATTAGGTTTGCTTGCGAACTCAAGTATTACCTTAGGGTTACTTGCGAACTCAAGTATTTCCTATCAGTTTTCTCTCTAGTTATATGAGGTATTTTGTTTGTTGCTCCTTTAAAATTTGAAAGAAGATGAATAATTTTAATGGACCAGATAAGAGGCTATGTAGATTATTGCCAAATTGGGTACCTCAATCTTTAGAAGGAAGGAGAAAGGAGATCATAATATCCTATGATCCTATTTATAGCTTTTGTATATTTCAAGTAAAACAACCTTGAATCGAACACATGACATTTACTAATAACATTGATATTTGAATAATACAGATTCTAGATAAAAGTTAATCAAGTAGACCCTATAGATCTTTGCACACATTTTGCCTATTAGTTTCATTTTTGAGATTATGTGTTTCTTGTTTAGGAAAGAAATGATGATTGACATTATCATAGTTATATGAGTGTTGACCCAAAATTTGATCACCTGAATAGATGTAAATTGGCTAACTTGAATCAATCGATTCAAATTAGCTATTGGTTCATTTAGTTCAACCTTGAAATCGACTAAATCAAGCCAAATACAACTAAAGAGGTTTCAATTGGCTCATTTGTTCTAGCCTAAACCTAACTCGAGCGTTTATTACCTTAATATAGCCCTTCCATGCCTCTATAGGTTGAATTTTCTAAGGCTAATTGAATGAATGTAGATACAAAGAAGAGTGATAAGCCTATAATCTTTTCTTGCCTCTTTACCCGTGATCGTTTACTACGATCAAAGATTTCAAGCTATCAGGGCATTCTCTCAACATCTTAGTCGTCCCTCCATAATCACATGAGGGTAGGATCATCATGTAGCTCCGTCCTCATTTTAGTAGGTCTTGGGTAATTTGATTTAGGGAGGAGATGAAAAATGTTAGAGAGAGAAAGGGGAGAAGTGGAGAAAATCAAGAGGGGAGACGCAGACTCACGAGCTTAGCATTAGTATTTGATCCTTTCTTATTCTCTTCAAGAATCGCATGGTTTGCTTGCAATCTGAGGAACCTGTTTTAGTTTGAGTCGAGCGTGTGCGAGCCTCTTGTCTCATGATTTTCTTGTTCTTCACCAAACCTATACTTGGCTCATTCGAGCTTTCTTAGTTGTGATTCAACCGGTGCATACTCCATTGATTAGCCTCTGAGACCTCTTCCTCTTCCTCACACACCAACTCTGGTAAGGTAGTTGGAGTGCCGACATCTAGAACAGTCTAAGTATTGGCAAGGGATCTTTTATATTTTCATTTGCTTGTTCACTACTAGAAGAAAGTATTATGGGCGGTTTGTCACTCACATTGGCTCTAATGAGCTACCTTTCTCGAGAACTTGGGAAGACCCTAGGGTTTTTGTCTTTTTGGCCATTGTTATGTGTTTGTGAATGACAAATTCATCGAGCCATAGATCTGAGTGAGAGAACATTTGCAAATGCTTCCCAATCCAAAATTCTCCCCATCTTCATTAAGTTGTTGGAGAAGTTATTAACCATGAATAGCTTCGGTTGGCCGCCGGAGGAAGAAGACGGTGGTATTTGTGTTGGATTATTGGGTTTTAACTAGATATACATTGTTGCATGATGTCCACATTCATGTTGGGCCCATTCCTTCATCCATATTGTGCATTCAATACTTCATGCTCATGTTTTAATATACTTTTATTTTATGTTATTGTAATTTTTGAGTTTAATTTTTGTTTACCCAATGATGGAAGGCAACTGATGAACATGTGTGGTTTAGGTGCTCATTGGACATGTCATTCCTTTGGTATGGTAGCTTCTTTGGGTGCTTTGTGTTTGGACTGATTTGGGTTTGATGGGTGGGTGGATGGCTGCTGGCTGCTTGGTGGCTGTTCGGTTTCTGTGGCTTTCTCGAGTTCCTTAGCTTGGCTGTTCGAGTCTTGTTGTTGTTCCTTGGCTTTCCCGATTCCCAGGGCCTTGGCTATTCGGGTTCTGTTGTTGTTCCCTAGCTTTCCTGATTCCCTGGGCCTTGCCTGTTCGAGTCCTGTTCTTGTTCCCTAGCTTTGTCGATTCCCTGGCTGTTCGGGTGGGCTTCTGCAGAGCCTTAATTGCTGCATTTTTCTTCCCTTTTTTTTGATTGGTTGTATGGGGCGGTTGTGGCTGGCTGTCGGCCTCATTTTCTTTCCTATTTAAGGAGGTGTTTTGGGCTGTTATGGGGAGCTTTGGGAGGTGAAAAGTATTCTAAAACCTGAGGGTTTCTTCTCTAGCTTGATAGCTACTTCTTCTCTACTTAGTTCTTCTTCCAAGTCTTCTATCAAATTCTTCTCTCCACAAGTTTTCACACCATTGTATCCTTCTTCTAAAAGTGTGAGTGGTGTTGCTTGGTCAGTTTTGTTGGTATTTGCCGGAGGAGTTGTGGCGGACGTTGGATCAAAGTTGCTGTGGTGGACCTCTGGTTTGCACGTCCTTAAGCATTTTATTTACCTAATTTATAGTTACATGTGAGGTAACCACTAGTTGGTTGTTCTGAGTATATTTTCTTTTTAGTTTTCTTTCTTCTAAAAAAAACAATTTAAGTTTGTTTCATGTTTATTTGGTGATTTGCTTACTAAGTTTTGGATTGAGTCATGCCCTACTTTCTTTTGTATTCTCCATTGGGTTTAGATCTTTCTATTTCTCATCTCATATCTAACCTTAGGTCCTTGTAACTATTGGATCCTCCATATCAAACAACTTTGTATATTTTCAACACAAGCGTTAGGTTCTTATTAATAGCTAGATTATGAAATATTAATCTATTGGTGACATTCTATTTGTTAGGGCTTTTAATTTTCTTAAATATATGAATGATTTAATGAATTAAATTAATTAAAAAAATTCCTAAACTTTGATAGAATGTTCTATGGATCCCCAAATATTTGCGATGCGAATGTGACATCATTTGGAATTACTTAAGGCCATTTTTGCATTCTTCAAAATTTAAGGCAATATAATAAAATTAATTAATTGTATAAAATTAAAAAATTTCATTTCTAATTTAAAAAAAATCCTAAATATATGAAACTAACTTCTTTGTGCTTCGAAAATAGAATAGGTTAATAAAAAATTGATCTTGTTTGATTTCTCAAGCCATAGATCCTATTTTTAATGAATCCAAAACATTCTTAAAAGATAAAATTCCATTATTATCTCATGGACCTTACCTTAGAGTTCTCTAAAGCTTTGTCCTTTGTAACATAGAACTCTCTTGGAGTTAGTTCACCCTTCAATAGACCTTAGAGTCACATTGATTCAAATTGAACCAAATCCATTTTGAATATACTCCTATATAAGTTCTCTTTGTTCAGTGCTTTCATAAATTCACATAGAGGTTTTTAAATAACATATAAAGTGTTTGAGAGAGTACTAGCATTTCTTAGCAATAATTCCTAATTTCATTTATTTGTTCGAGACAAAATCAATAAATAGCTTCCATCATGTATAGGATCCAATCATAGCTTTTCTTATTTGGTTGACTCAATCAATTAAGTAATACCTAATTCTTTCAATCCATTAGGAAACCTTTCTTTTAATAAATCTTTAGCTATGTATGAGTCAAACCTAATTTAACCATTCTCTAAATGGATTCTCTTTGCTTTGTGCATTTTTTAACTTCATATGGAAGCTTTCTTAAACTTTCTTATGAGTTTAAGAGAGCCTTAGCACTTCTTAGGACCAAATTCTAAGTCTGTAGGATCCCTTTGCTTGCCCAAAAGTAAGCAAGTGATCATCTTCTTTTTAGGACCCAATTGCAGTATCCCTACTGGTTTGACCCCAATCAAACAATGAAAACCTTTACTTTTGAACCCAGAAGTTTCGAAACTTTCTTGTTTGAGTCCTAAAATTATAGACCTAACATTTTAACCTTTAGCCCAAAGCTATAGGTTCAAGACCACCTCCCTTCAGCGACAAAGCTAGAAGTGATTTTGGTTTCTTAGTCTTAATGCTATAGGTTCATACCACTAGCCTTGTTTATTTAACCCAAATCAAGAAAGATATTATATCTTCGGCATTTTATCCATAAGCTTTATTCTTTTCTGTTTGACCCAAATCAAATAGGATGTTCTCTCTTTTAGTTTCAAAGTCAATATCTATTCACTTAACCCAATTAAGTGAAAATCTTCTTGCCTAAAATCCTAGGCTCATTTACTTAGCCTAATTAAGGAGATGATCTCAGTCTAGGTTCTAAATCCTAGATCATTTGAATCAACAAGTGAATTTATCACATCTCTCTTATCATCAAAATCAAAACATAATTCCAAGATGTAGGTCTCTTTAGAAGCATTTCATTGAAAATTGTCCAGCAACTCTAACCCAATTAGGTGAATTTTATCAAATTCTAAGTGAAACCTTTGTGTATTTGTGCTTGAAGCTAATTCAAGCACACTCTTTCTCTGTAATCCAACACTAAGATAAATTATTAAAAACTATAAAAAATATGTTTCTTTTTTATACAACAATGTGCAATTTTATCCCAAAAGGTGAAATATTTATATTATTGGATTTTAGGACACTATGAGTGATAGACTTACCTCAAAGCAAGAATTAACCATTCAATGGGTTCCTTGAAGCCCCCTTAAAAAATATGAAACTTTGAAAATTCATATAAAAACTTTAATTCATAAACAATTTAAAGTAAAATCATTATTAGAATTAAAATGAATATATTCTTATTCCACAATGAAACAACACATCAAACTAGTTTGATGGACATATAAGCCAACACAAAAAGATATACAGTCTTTTGGGCATTCTAGGGTTACGATTTTTCTTTTTGCATGTGATTGCGGTGTTATGGTGATTGTTTAATTGAAATATTTCTTGATGATCATTTATGTTGTGGGCATTTGCCCTTAAGTATTAGTATAAAGATATATGTTTTACCATATATTCACGACCCGACCCGGAGACTCAAATTAACAAGGAGAGAATAGACGGTCAGACGGTTAATTTATTTCTTTCAAATACATAAATAGTTAACAACTGACATACTATATAATTAACAAAATTACAAAATTTGAACATATACATAAACCATATTTTACCTATTTTCATTCGATCGCCTTCTTTTGTACGCATATTCTTCTCTTTCAACCATTCTATTGTTCAGAAGATTTACCTGAAATTTTATTTTAATAGTTTGAGTTTATATAATAAACTCAGTAAATAATTATGCTTGTAGCATAAGAGTTATACATACATAAATAATCATTTTCATCTGATATTTTTTTACAGTTAATATATATATATCTAATAATAATAATAATAATAATAATAATAATAATAAT